TAATGGCATAGAAAGTCATGTCCAGGTCATTAATAATTAATGATTAAGGCCCTAACAGATTCTTGTGGGACACTACTAGTCACATACTGGCATTATTATCCCTGCTTTCAGTGGCCTACCACTCAACCAATTTCCCAGCCGTCGGTTATTTGTCCTCAATTCCATGGACTTCTGCTTCTGTTAACAGTCTGTTATGTGGAACTTTTATTTCCTTTCAAGTTAAATTCAATTCAAAGCAATTTAAATCCATATAGTACACAAGCTATCTGGAAAGTTTAAGCATCTTTCAGAAGTACACATACCACATAAGCTTTAGACGAAAGGGTTCCTTGTGCATTCCACTAACATTCAAAGACAATATGTTGGCCATTTCATTCAGACGAGCAAGGATTTGGGGGCATGTGTTAGCTGGTCAAATCTCAAAAGGTGGTGGCAGGGGTTGTAGATTTGACTGGCTGCTTAGCTAGCCAATCCCTAATACAGAGTTGAAGGGTCAGATTTTTGGTTTTCTGCCCAGTTGAAGCAAAAGTTCAGTATGAAGTAACGTATAGCAAAAACAGAGGAGAGATCTATTCTCTTACGACAAATGCCAAACATCTTCAGAGATTTTCTGATTGATAGGGTGGATTTAGAAGATAGTTGCTGTAGTTTCTGCCACTAAGTAATTGTAATATATTGCTTGTTCATACATGGATCAACTATATTTTTCAGCTGGCAGGTGCAACAGCACAACCACTAGCAAGCTATAAGTTCAGCATAACAAGTGCACATACCAAGTTAACAAAATAACTTAGAATGCAAACATAAATCTAGACAAAAATGTTCAACACATGAACTGAATTAGATAAATATACTTAGTATGATTATCCCAGATTTCTAATCTTCTTCATATGAAGATTACACTTGGTCCCGACTCATGTGCCGTGCTTTGAGAAAATGAGGGGCAATATATTGTTTTGCAGAAGAGATTCTTAGGAGGGAAACTTAAATGCTAGATTCTCCACTTGTAAAATAAAAAATTCAGAGTACTCGCAGTGAGATATCCTCCACTGGGTGGTGTGGCTCTGCTACTATGCTAATAGGATAAATTTTGATCATATCTAGCAACTCAAAACCTGGAGCATCGAGGTGCTTTAAATCATCAGAACTGTATTCAACTACACTTTAACCTCATGTCCCAGCATTTTCCCCAACCTACCACTATTATTCAGTTAAAGGATTGTATGAAATAGGCACAGAAGTAGATCATTTGGCCCAAACTAGCTGTTATTCAATAAGGTCAAGGCTGATCTTTTTGTGTTATGAATTTCAAATTCCCATTTACCCCCTTGTCTAACAAGAATCCATTTAGCTCTACCTTAAAAATTTAAGTGAACCTTACTCCACCGTTTTCTGATGCAGAGAATTCCAAAGTTTCAACCCTCAGAAAACTTCTCATCTGTCCTAAAAGGCCGATTCCCAAATTTAAACAGTACCCCTAGTTCTTCATTAACACAGAAGAATTAAAACATCGTTTCGATGTCCACCTTGTTAAGACAATTCAGGATTTTGTACAAGTCGAGACACCCCTCACTAAATTCCAGTCAGTCAAAACATGCACAACTTGTCCTATCCATTCTCATTAGAGGATTCATTAGAGAATTCCAGGTATTGATCTAGTAAACCTCCTTTGAATTGCCTCCAATGCATTTATATCTTTCCTTAACTAAGGAGAACAAATTTACATTGTTAGAGAGATAGTAGGAACTGCCGATGCTGGAGAATGCTGCAAGCTGTGTTCATCCAGCTCTACGCCTTGTTACATTGTTAGAGACGTATTATTACCAATACTGTATAATTCAATGTAATCTTTTATGTTCAATTATATCATAAAGGATAGCATCTCATTGGCCTGTTTGATTATGCTATAGTTGCATAGCAAGTTTTATAATACATGCATAAGACTTAAATCCCTCTGCATTTCAGAATTCTACAGTAGTTCTCCACTTAAGTAATACTCTGATTTTTCATTCTTTCTGCCAAAGTAAAGAACTTCACGTTTTCCCACATTATACTCAGCCTACCAGATTTTTGTATGCTCATTCAGCCTCTCTATCTGCAACTCAGATCTTCTTCACAACGTACGTTCCTACTTATCTCAGTGTCATCTGTGAAAGAAGTTGAAGCCGTAACATATACTACTGCTGGCTTCCACTCGTCACATTCTGGCATTCAAAGATCCATCTATGCACACAATGTTTACTGCCCGCCAGCCAACATTCTATCAATACTGAAAATGTCACTCACTATCCAATGAGTGGCAGAGGGCACATCAAGAGTTAGAAATACCAGAAAGTGAGGAATTAAACTAGCAGATCTACAATGCAAAGGCCAAGTAGCAGGACCAACATGCAATAAGCAAAAATAAGTAACTCAATCAACAGATCGGATCCAAGTCACATCTTTTCCACATCACATTGTGAAAGGTGGTGGACAATTAAACTACTAATAGGAAGAGACTCCACAAACATCTTCCTGTCAATGACGGGTGAGCCCAGTACATCAGTACAACAGATAAGGCTGAAGCATCTTCCTCCATCTTCAGCCAGGGGTGCTGAGTGAATGAACCACCTTAGCTTCCTCCCGATTTCTGCAGTGGTTCAGATCCTTGTTTTCAACCAGTTCGACGGACCCTACATGACATCAAGAAATGAAGAAAAACCCTGGATACTGCAAAGACTATGGGCCCTGACAACCTTCCATCGATAGTTTAAAGATGTGTGTTCCAGGGCAGCTACAACATTGGCATACACCAGGCAACGTGGAAAAAACTGTGCAGATATATACTGTGTACAAAAACAAACAAGCCAAATCTAATCTGTCCAATTACCATTCCATCAGTCTATCTCAAATAATCAACAATTGATGGAAAAGTCATTTACAGCACTGTCGAGTAGCACACACACAATAACCTACTCACTTTTGCTCAATTTGGACTCTGGCAGAGCCAACCGGTTCCTGAGTACATCACAGTTTTGGACACAAGAATGAGTGACTGCCCTGAATATCAAAGCAGCATTTGTGGCATCAAATGGCCAGAGCAAAAACTAAACTCATTGTGAATCAGGAGGAAACCTCTCCACTGGAGAAGTCATATCTAGCAGAAAGGATGGTGGCTATAGTTGCTGGAGGTTAATTATCTCCAATCTATGTTGTCATTGTAGGAATTTCTGTAGGTAATCTACCAGTCCAGAGATGATGTTACACACCTCTGAACCAGGTGGGACTTGATCTCAGGGCATCCTGGTTGGAGGCAGGGACGCCAACTCTGCACCACAAGAGCCCCTGCTTAGTTCATTAAAAAAGTACCCACAGAAACTGTTTCAGAGATGGTATTACACAACAGGAGATGGTGTGACTTGAACCAATACCTCTTAGCTCAGAGGTAGGGACAGGAACACTACCACGACATCACAAGAGCCTATAGACTTAGTGGGCAGTGATGTCAGCCTAATCCTCTTTAGCTGCTTCAGTGATCTTCCCTCCATAAAGATCAGAAGTGGGAATAGTTACATAGGTTTGCACAATGTTCAGTAGTACTTTTCCTGACTTCAGACACTGAAGCAGTTTGTGTTTATACAAACTAAAACCTGGACAACATTCAGGCATTCGACTGGTATGTGGCCATACAAATACTGCACCTACTAAAAAGTTCAGAGACTAGGAATTCTGTACCAAATAACCCACTGATTTGCTCCTCAAAGCTTGCCAACAAATCACTTTTTCATTTTCTAATTTCATTTCTAAAAATGAATCAGAATGGAAACTAAGAATTATTATGTTGTTCAGGCAGAATTAATATTTTTTAAAATTATCAGCTTTACTCGAAAATCAAGGATGGGATGACTCAGTTAGTAAACTCAATTATATCTCTCACCAAAAATAAATAAATTATGACCCCAAAATATCTTTGTTTGAGGGGGCACCCTTGTTGGAATAATTTGGCTACTTTTCTTCTACATTACAACTGTAACTATATTTCAAAAACAAACATATGTTCAAGCACTGCTAAAATATCAAATTGAAGAGCTGTTCAATTCCAGAAGGAAAATTTTATGCATAAGGAATGCAAAACAATGAATACTGAATTGAAGAAGAGTTCAAAAACTTTCGGGCTTGACCTCTCCCATGTCCTTCCCACAACCCCCAAGACCATGCCTAGTTATCACATGGTCTATTACATACCACCCATTGTTAGCCACTAACAGTCCCCATTAACAGCTATTCACTCTTAGCCAGATCATTATCCAGTCCTTTGTATGTCTCACTGGTCCCTCTCTCTCTTTGGGCTCTATCCCCACCTATTGTTTACTCCTTATCCCCTCCCACACTATCTTTTGCATATAAACAGACATTTTCCAAGCTACCATTGGTTCTGAGGAAGGATCACTCAACCCGAAACGTTAACTCAGATTTCTCTCTACAGATGTTGCCAGACCTGCTGAGCTTTTCCAGCAATTTCTATTTTTGTCTCTGATTTACAGCATCCACAGTTCTTTTGATTTTTAGTGATAAATGATTCGTCATACTAACACCGTAAATGCACATATAAAAAAGTTATTTAAAAAACATTTGCTTATTCAGCACTGCCATCCATCAAAATCCACCAACTCCAGTAACTTCATGTTGGATGTGTGCCTTAAGATGCCTTGGCTCACATTCAGGAATTCCCTTAAGTCTCTCTTTCTTGCTTCCATTAACATATTCGTTGAAATCTAACTCTTTCGCCAAACATTATGTTATTATGTTAGTGTCAATTTTTTTAATATTGCTTCTGTGAAGCTCTTTGGCACATTTTGCTACCTTAAAAGCCCAATGTAAATGCAAGTTGTTGTTGCATCACAAGATTCAATAAGTTGCACTACATGATTATCAGACTGGTCCAAGTAATAGTTCAACATTTTGTTTAAACCCCTACCCTCAGTGATGATGAGCTGCTAAAAATGTAATGCTTTACTTACCAATAAGAAGAAGAGTTCCAACTGCCAGACCTCCTCCTAAAAAGAAATTAACATTGTAAATTTTTCAGTGTCCTCAATAATACAAGTTTTAAAAATGAAGAGTTTATTTAGAAGTAGTTTTACATGAAAAGTTACAAGTTATGAAGAACAAAATGAAACTGAACAATATTGTGCCATTTATCCTAATACCAACAAAAAAAAAAAATCAGACAACTTAGCAGCATAAAGGAATGACTCTTAATCATTGTGCTCCAATTCAGTGTATAAAACTACTCACATTAGGAGAAAGAAATCATAAGCCTCAATCCCACAGAGCATCTATTCCATTACAATGCTGATAGACATTGTCTACTCCACAAGCTATTCCAAAGAAGAGCAAGGATGTTCACCGTAGAGTCCTGGACAACATTTCTGTCTGAAACACCAAAAAAAATAAACTTTGGGTGATCTTTTTGCTATTTGTGGGACCTTGCTGGTGACAAACGGCTACAGCATTTGTCTACATTACAACTGAGATTACATTTAAAAGAAAGTGCCAAAAAGGCTGTCAAGCCCTTTGCAAGGTCCTCTAGTCACAAAAGGTGCTACAGAAAATAAAAGCTGTTTTCTTTTCTTTTGAATCGTACACTCAAGTAAGAGCATTTAACGTTACACATTTTCTCACTCAAACATAGAATTCTACATGGAACATTTTGACACCAGGTCTAATCCAACAAATAACCTCAGTGAATCCAATGAAGCTCATTGACACTTTCAGTATCTGGCACATTCCCAATTTGCATGTTTGAGGAGATGCACAGAGGTCATCAAGACCTGTGCACAATAATAAAACTCCTTTGGTATTTTCTCTAGTGTTGTGCTAGTTCTCCCAAAGGTTAGGTCTTGTGCAGCTGGCAGAAGTTTAACATGAGTAAATCTGGCAATTTATCAAAAGTCCAATCAAAATACAAACAAATATTCCAAGCCATTACTTAGTAAACCCAACAAATTAATTTATGGTTTCTACATCAGTTGCATGAGATTACAGGCAATTGAGGAGAGGCTAACACAATTTTAAAAAAAAACCTAGCTAACCAAAAAAGGTAGAAACTCCACATCAATCTTTTTAATTTGGATAGGGAGGTTATTCTATTTGCAATTCCCTAGAACTTTTTCCAATCATTAGCTATATTATTTGGGCAGTTATGATATTACAGAAGCCCTTTTCCTCCTCAAAATTATAAGAACTCAAACTTTGGAGTATGCTATTTTCAAGGATCCAAACAAATCTGCCAACTAGTAGAGCATGGTGGAACATTCTCTCCCATTCCAAACCTGAAATCTGACATACAGGAAACACTATACAAGAGTCAGAAGCAATACAACTATAGTTGTAACTCCTTCCAATCCCAGAAACCGAATGCACTATGATTTTGATTCCTGCGACAAAATTACTTCTAAAAACTTTAGTGAAACATCTGATCCAACTTTGCGAGGTCACCTTATGTACAGCATCGCAGTTTAGTAATTCTTTAAGATAACAAGACGTAGAGATGGATGAACACAGCAGGCCAAGCAGCAACGCTGACGTTTCGGGTCTGGACCCTTCTTTAGAAATGGGGGAGAGGAAGGGGATTCTGAAATAGGGAGAGGGAGAGGGAGAGGGAGAGAGAGAGACGGATGGAAGATGGATAAAGGAGCAACATGTTCCTTTATCCATTTTCCATCCACCTCCCCCTCTCTCTATTTCAGAATCCCCTCCCCCTCCCCCATTTCTGAAGAAGGGTCCAGACCCGAAACGTCAGCTTTCCTGCTCCTCTGATGCTGCTTGGCCTGCTGTGCTCATCCATCTCTACACCTTGTTATCTCAGATTCTCCAGCATCTGCAGTTCCTACCATCTCTTAATAGAATATAAAACATAGAACATTACAGCACAGTACAGGCCCGTCGGCCCTCGATGTTGCACCAACCTGTGAAACCAATCTGAAGCCCATCTAACCTAAACTATTCCATTATCATCCATAATGTTTATCCAATGACCATTTAAATGCCCTTAAAGTTGATGAGTCTACTACTTTTGCAGGCAGGGCATTCCACGCCCTTACAATCTGAGTAAAGAACCTACCTCTGACATCTGTCCTATATCTATCACCCCTCAATTTAAAGCTATGTCCCCTCGTGCTAGCTATCACAATCCGAGGAAAAAGGCTCCCACTGTCCACCCTATCTAATCCTCTGATCATCTTGTAATAATTCTCTACCAGGCTTGGGTATCTGGTCTCAGGTCAAGTTCCTCCATTCAAAAGCTATGAATCAGATCAGACCTAAACAGACTATACTATTTAAGTGGTAACTGGAGTTTATTGATCAATAGAAAATTACACCTATATAATTCAGTTCTTGTTACCTCAATAAAGCATAAATTTTAAAGTTTTATATAAATGTACCCTCTATTAACTGAAGAATTCAAACCTTTTTTGCTGAGATACAATAGAGGTTCTCACATTTTAAACATCAATGTTCACAATGAACTGCATACATCTTAAGCAGAGAGAAATTGGTCTGTTTTTGAATTTGAGATTACCACTCAGCACTAACAAAGTCATTACCCAAATCAAAAGGCCCAAAACATTTGAACAGGGCAAACCAGCAAATAACAGAAATACAAATGCAAGATTTTAGGCTGCATTTCTTATGGAGAAAAGCAGGTAATAAAATAACATTACAACATTTATCAACAAAGGCAGGGAGTACTAAAGCAAAGAAAAGAAAAGACAGCCACCTTGTACAGATCGCAGTGAGCCTCAGCTGGAGTACTGCATTCAATTTTGGGCACCAGACTTTCTAGAAAGTATCTGAAATGGCACAGAGGAAAAAAACCCGCAAATGCTTCCAGAGATAAAGAATTTATTGTGAAGATTGATTGGAGAAGAAAGAAATGGTTTCTTTGGAGAAGAGGTCAAAAGAAAATTTGATAGAGGTATTCAAAATCGAGGGTCTGGACAGAGTGGATAGGGAGAAAAACTGTTCCCACCTGTGAAGCTATCAAGAACAAAAAACAAAAATCAGATATTTCAAATATGTTGGAAAAAACAAAATAAAAAAACCCAGCACGTCTGGCAGCATTTGTGGATAGAAATCAGAATTAACTTTTGGGTTGAGTGAAACCTGCTACACATTTCCAACAATTTCTGCTTTTGTTCCTGATTTACAACATCCGCAGTTCTTTTGGTTCTTAATACAAAAAACCGTTCACATAGCAACTGGTTACGGCCTGTAATGCACTGCCCGAGATTGGTGGAGGCAAGTTCAATTGCAGCATTAGAGAATTTGTTGATTTTCAGAGAATCTATGTACAAACTTACTGGGAGAAGGCCAGAGAATGACTTAGCAAATTGTTGATTTAATCAGGATAGACACGATGGTCCAAATGGCCTCCTGTACTGTAACCATTCTGTGAGAAATTCTACAGAATTTCAAGTCTCCACTGAATCTCAGAATAATTACAGCGCTGAAGGAGGCTATTTAACAATAAAATAAATGTAAAGAACTCCAGATGCTAGAACTCTACAACAGGAATGTTAAACTAAAGAACTGATCATCGACTTCAGAAAGAAAGGAGGAGAACACACCCCCATCTACGTCAACAGAACTGAGGCTGAGAGTGAAGAGCTCAAAATTCCTCAGAGTGATGATAACACACAACCTGTCCTGGACTTCCCACGTAAATGAAACGGTCAAGGCAGCACAACAATGCCTCTTCTTCCTCAGGTGGCTCAGAAAATTTGGCATGTCCATAAAGTCCCTCACCAACTTCCACAGATGCACCATTGAAAGCAGACAGTCTGGGTGCACAACGGCCTGGTATGGCAATTGCTCTGCCCAGGACTGTAAGAAACTACAGAAGCTGGTGTGCACTGCCCAGACCAACATAATGACCTCCTACAAACTCTTCCGTAAAACAGAAGATACAGAAGCCTGGAACCACTTCTTTCTGGCTGCTATTAGACTGTTGAATGGACTCTAGCCTCAAATAACGTGACCTGCAATGCAACCTATACGCCTCTATGTCTTTTTGATCCGTACATCCTTTGCTTGCTGTGATCTGCCTGTACTGCTCATAAACAAAGCTTTTCACTGTATTTCAGTACAAGTGACAATAAATCAATCAGAATAGAAAGTGCTGGAGTAACTCAGCAGATCTTATAGCATCTGTAGAGGGAAACACAGCATTACTGTTGAGTCCAGTGACCCTTCAGCGCATTGTGCCTGCACACTGCTCGATTAGCTAGTGCTGATCTCCTGCCTTTTCCTCCCATATTCCTGCACAGCATTACTCTCCAAAAAAAAAAATAGACATCCAACACCCTCTTGAATGCTTCAACTGAACCTGCCTCCACCACATTTCTAGCCAGTGTGTTCTATACCCTAACAACTGTGTGAAGAAAGATTTTTTTCCTCACATCACCCTTGCTTCGTTTACACTTTAAATTCATGTCCCCTTGTTCGGTCGACTGTGCTCATGATTTTGAAAACCTCAAAAATCGGGTGGAGGTTCTAGGTCACCTCTCAACCATCTCTCCAGGGAGAACAGTTCCAACTTCTTCAATCTATCCTCATGGCTGAAGTTTCTCATACCTTGAACCATTCTGGGAAATCAATTCTGCATTCAATCCAATGCCTTTGCATCATTCTTACAACGTAAGATCCAACAAGTGTCTTGTACAAGTTCAACATCACCTCCCTGCTCTCATACTCCAAGCTCCTATTAATAAAGCCAAGAACACTATGCCTTACTTAGTGTTCTCCCACCTTGAATGATCTGTGCATATATACACCCAGGTCCCCCTACTCCTGCAGCACCTTTAGAATTGCACCCTTATTTTGTTGTCTTTTCCGTGTTCTTCTAAACACATCACCTCACACTTCTCTGCATCGAACCTCATCCCCAACAATTCACCCAGTCCACCAACTTGTCAATGCCTTTTTGGAGTTCCACAATATCTCCTCGCAGTATCATCTGCAAACTTGGAAAATTGTCTTCTGCACTCCAGCTCATTAGTATACTTGTTCGAGAGTAGACAACCATCTGGGCGACACAAAAACGAATTAGGACAAATTGGGTATCCTTGCTCAATCTGGCTCTCTGTCAGATAGGTGTCAGATATGTTTGGGTTGGGGGCAGGGGGAGGAAGGGCACTCTTGAGTCACAGACATCCTTTCTCTGCATCATCGGTTGAATTAAGTTACAAGAAGCGAGCTCACTGACCTATAATGTAATCGAGAGACGGCACCCCAGTAGACAATAGCAGCTGCCCATTCCGCAGCGATGGCCGGGTCCCAGACACCCGTTGGCTCCGCACCTTCCGCTGAAAACTCGTGCCACCGCAGGACGCCATCTTCCCACGGCTGTTGTTCGCGTTGAACCTTGGGTAATAGAAGGAGGGGGCGTGGTTACGTGCGCACGGTCACAACACCAATCAGCAGCGTCCTAGGAAGGGCTATCCAACCAGCGCTGCTGTTTCTAACCGTCAATACCGGGGGTCCATAATAGCTTATTTCTGATTGGCTCATTCCCGCATTTCCCGTACCAGCGTGTCTTTGAGAGTACGCACCATTGACATTGTGAAAGCTTTGTGTTAACCTTCAGTTTGAGAAGAAAAGGTACGGATGTGTACTTTACTTATTTTAGAACCCGTTGCTATTATTTCATATGTCCTTGATTTAAATGAGTTAGACATTTAACAGTACCGGAAACTCAAAGCTGTCAAATGGTAACCAACTGTCACTGGGGGTTATTTGACCAAATGCGCGTTCGTCTTGTTGGAGTTGCTGTTCGAAACTACAAATTCCAGTGTGCTGTGGAGGACTTGAAAAGGAAAAATAGGGGTGAGATCTAGTGGAAAATGTATCCATGCCGCCTATGACTAACTGTAACGCCAGTTAAAAACACTGATCTTCTGAAGAAGGGTCATTGGACTCCAAACATCAACGTTGTTTTCTCTCCACAGATGCTGCCAGACATTCTGAGTTTCTCCAGCAATTTCTGGTTTTGTTTGTGAGAGTTAAAAATAATAACTTGATTCCATTCTTACCAATCTAATCATAGGCAGTAGATCATTTGTAATGGCTACTTCTACAATGTTCTTTTTGGTGTCTCTCACCATGATCTTGGTCCCGCTATGGACAGTAACCTGCTGTGTTACAGTTATCACCTCTCCTGAACCTGTTGCGATTAAGGTATCAGACGGCTTATCCAACATCCAATACCGAGTTGATTCATGTATGGTCTTTCTAACCGAAACAGAAAGCAACAGAGGACACAAAAATATGTCAAGTCATTGTGTCCAATGTACTTAAAATGCATTTCTACAAACAACCCCCTTTCTATATAAAAAAACAATTTGCACACTACTGTGTTTGCACGCACTAAATTTACGTGACAAATTAACCAGTATGCACAGTCTATTAAAAAAAATCATGAACAAAATATTATTTATTCTAATCAGTTTTGCCTTCATTCATCTATAATCTCTGAAGAGTTCTGATTCAAGAATTCAAGTTGTTGTTGGCTGTTTTTCTCATGGCTGTGTGATGTTCCATCTCTGTGGGAACATCATTCCCATGGGCAGAGCTTGATTTTTCTTTTATTTGTTCGTGGAGCGTGGGATTGTTGGTTAGGGTGGCATTTATTGCCCATCCACAGTCATCCTTGAGAAGGTTGTGATGAGCTGCTTTCTTCAACTACTGCAGTCCTTGTTGTGTAGGTATACCTACAAAGCTATTAGTAAGTGAGTTTGGGGACAAGTGAAGGAATGACAATATAGACCTAAGTCAGTATGGTGTATGCCTGAAGGGGAATTTGCTGGTGGTGGTGTTTCCATGCACTTACTGCCCTTTTGCTTCTAGACAGTACAAGTCATTGGTTTGTGAGGTGCTATCAAAAGAACCTTGTTAGTTTGCTGCAGGACATCTTGTAGATGGTACTGTTTGCTCCCATTGCTATGTATACAGATCTTCCAGTTCAGTGTCTGGTCAATGGCAGCCCTCAGAATGTTGATAATGAAGGATTCAGGCATGTGGAAAAACATACCATGATGTACTTTTCTCATCACAAATCAAACCACTTCTTGCTGCTTGCTGGCCCCAAATGACTTTGATAGTCTGCTTGGTGAAACCATCAACAGGATCTACCATCTCGTTATCACGTAGAGACTCTAGAACTTTAGAAACTAATTACCCCCCAGTTGTGATTGATGATGTTTTTATGCATAACTTTCTTTACAGAGGACAGGTGGTATACCACTTTCGAACTTCTTGGAGCATTCCACAGCAATATAGCCACACCTGTCCTTTGCAATATTGGGGACAGGTAGAACCTTGCAACATCATGAACACTTGGTGTTTGCATAATGTGGATGTACACACAATTTGGTATGTACACACGTACAACCACTCAATAATGTGACGACGAGGATAAAATTTATTAACTTTTTCCCCCTTCATCAAGATTTATACATGACCCTGAGAACAAATTTCCTTTTTAACCTCTCAATAAAGTGGAAAATGGCTCAGGTGATTACCACATATTAGGATCAAAACAAAATGGCTAGACTCGAACCATTTACAGCACCTGATGATCAGGTTCTTACCTGCAATGTAAAGGGAGTGTTTCTCCCACATTGGCACTCTATCCTTCCAGTAGTGCATGTCTGGGCACCTCTGAATTATATTCCCAGCACCTGATGGTGAAGGGGACAAAGGACTAGTTGATCCAGCTCCCAAATGACACAATCTTGCTCTTGTCTCAAATTATCTTGAATCCCAAGACTCTTTTAAAATAGTTGCAGATGCTCATCAGTCTGTGCACTGAATGCAAGTCTGAGCAGAACACGGTAAATTCATCCATGTACTGGAGCCTGTACTTCCATTACTTGGACAGTCAGTCCTCTTCTGTTTGCAAAGGGTTCTGTACAACATGTGAATATTATGGGAGGAATTTTAATTGCTGCACCAGGAGCAGCCATGAGCTACCTGGGCTGTAAACCTGAGGTCTCTCCCTAAGTTTCCTGAGTAATTTGCCTCCTGTTCCTACTTTAAGATGTTCTTACCCCTTTTGACCAAGCTTTTGGCCTTCTGCCATATGTAGTTCAGTGCCAGGCTTGCATTATAATGCTCTTTCAGAAGAGCCTTGGGGAATTTTAATGGATTAAAGCATCATTACATGTAAAAAGTTATTGTGCAAGTTGGACGTGCTTTTAAATAGAATTTAAAGAACACAAAATACAAGTGAAGAACCATCTATGCAGAGAGGAACAGAGTTAATTCTTTGAGTTGGCCCCTTTCATCAGAGCTCAATTTGGGTTGCACTGGTTGCATGATTCCAGCTGGTTTAAACAACGTAAAGCTTATATTCCAAGTATGATTAAACTGATCAAGTTGTCCAAGAGACGTTGCAAATACTTGGAGTTGTGCGAACTGCAAGCCCGTATGTACATATTAAGAATTAGGTATGTAAAGCCACATTATATGACCATTGAGTTTGATTAATCAAAGTAGCCTTTTCTCAATGTGTTAATATATTTTAATGTTTAGAATTACTATTAAAAGAACCACGATGTAAACTAAATAAAAACCAAAAGAACTGCAGATGCTGTAAATCAGGAACAAAAACAAAGTTGTTGGAAAAGCTCAGCAGGTCTGGCGGCATCTGTGGAGGAGAAAACAGAGTTAACGTTTTGGATCCGGTGACCCTTCCTCAGAACAGTTCTGAGGAAGGGTCCCCGGACCCGAAACGTTAACTGTTTTTTCCTTCACAGATGCTGCCAGA